CTTGTTGGATTTGTGACTGGTTGTTGGTGTTCTGGTTTTGCTGCTGCTGTTGCTGCTGCTGCGGAGGGAAGAGAGAGCTGCCGAGGGTGTTGGTATTGGTTTGGCCGAAAGCCGAGCCGGTCGTCTGGTTCTGGTTCTGGTTCTGGTTCTGCTGGTTGCCGCCGAGGCCGCCGAAGAGAGACGGCTTCTGCGCCGTCGATGCTCCCAGTCCGCTCAAGCCTCCCAAGCTGAGTCCTCCCGACTGCTGCTGCTGACCCTGTTGCTGTTGCTGCTGTTGCGGCTGGCCAAACAGCGACGATCCTGATGCAGGTTGTGCCGTCGTAGCAGCGCCGCCGCCAAACAATCCACCGCCTGTCTGAGGCTTGTTCTGTCCCAAGCCTCCGAAAAGACCGCCCGGTGCAGGCGTCGAGCTCGTTTGCTGGTTGTTCGTGTTGTTTTGCTGTCCAAACAGACCTCCTCCCGTGTTGCCCTGCTGCTGGTTACCGCCGGTCGAGGCGCCCAGGCTACCCAGAGGGTTGCTTCCGAAGAGCGACATGTTGTGATGATATCGTGGTCGCGTTCAATCGGAGGCGAAATTGGACACGACACCGAAGGGTAATCGAGGTTGTTGCGGATAAGTGACGCGATCGGAAGCTGCCCAGGCGCGTTTGCGGAATGAAATTTTGAGGTTTGGGAGAGCTCTCAGCGACAGCTCCACTGATTGGCGGGGAGCGACCAGGCAACGGGGGCCGGGGAAGGTGCCGGATACATGTTATCCCTGCGAATTTCAGCCTGATGATGAGTACATGGTACCTGCCCTCCTTCGAGGTGCTCTGCTCACCGAAATTGGTGTTCGGTGAGCTTCACTTCTTACATGCCGGCGGCTTGGAGCAATGGCAGCGACACTTCATTGCCATCAATTTCACGTAATCATATTATGCGGCAACTTTGCTCCAAGATTTGGTCCTCTGTTTCTGTAATCAAAAATTCACGAAAATTCAACACACCGTTTACTGGCTCACATCCCAAACGTCATTTTCTCGAGTTGATCAGTATAATAAGGTGAATAAAGGTCCACACCGATTAGCAGGAGCAGAATATGCCATACTTCGACTTTGATACTTTAAGACAACGAGAGAAAACAGAGCTCACTCCTGCTTTTATGTACAGTCATCATGCTTGAACCCGGAATTCTCAGCCGGCTCTTAGGCTATGCAACCCATGCCTGGGCCATTTTGTCGTTTGTCTTGCTGTAGAGACCAGCACTATATTGCGGTTAAATACTACGAAAGACCACACTTTCGTAGTCACTCAAGATAAAAAACATGGCACCGTTTCCTCCTCTCCTGACTGTGTCGGACCCTAGTGTTCACGGGCTGGGGTAGGCCTTAGTGTTTAAGCAGACTTTTACGCAGCTTGCTTTGTTTCTTCGTTCTAATGGCACAGAAAACAGGGAATACTACATTCGGAATCCATTGATCAGAGAATAATGGCGACAACGTTTGCTTGAGTGTTTAAATTGCATATTACAAGAGTATAGCTTCAGTTACCTATGTGTTTACGAATACCCCGATAGCATCTAGGCTTTTCTGCAAGACTAACACTTGGGCTTCATTTGTTATCTGTTGAGCATGCTGTCCGCGCGTGAGTTAAACATCGGTGGTCCAAAGCCGCGATGATTTCTTTATATCCGCTATTTAACCAACTCGATCCTTCCTCCCACCCAATGTTTCCGGAGTGTTAGCAGTTGCATGACCTGAAAAATATCGGATACAAAGAGGGGGCTCGCCACTCAGCGCTGTCCGTTGCCTTTACAATGAGATTTCGATGGGAGCTAGCCACGTGAACTCAGACGACCCAAGCTGAATACAGCGCTGCTGAAAGCATCGGTTCTATGGCCGTCAGAGCCGGAAATTTTCTCTCTGTTCTCCTATAGCTCTCAGATCTATCTCTCAGTTAGCCTTCGGTGTATATTACCCACCGAGCCAAGCGAATTTCACATACCGTCGAGACTTTCTTCCCTTGGGTTCCCTATGAAGTATGTTCTGTCAGGCACCCGTCAGCTTCTTCGAATGATATTTATCTATTCCCAACCATGGATATTGACGCCTGTGTATTTGTTGCCGCAGTCACAATATAGCGCAAATTGCCAACCGTGGTCCAATCTCAAATATTCAGGCCAAAGAACTGTCGCACACATGTCTAATGATTCCGCGCCAACAGTTACTTCATACATGACCTGTTTTTGAGTCAGCCTGAAGTGACAAGCATGCAGCACATGTATAGTTTCATCCAGTCGCATATAACCATTGTCTCTCCCGGTTACGGCCTCGTCAGAGGGCACAACTGCGCTTAGCAAGGCTGTCTTATCAATGAGACTGCCCTGCCATGTAGACTGGTGTATCCAGTAGTGGCTATGCCGACACTTCGAAAACGCTCTTGCACTTTTCGAGTCAACCATGGCAAAAGACGACGGAACAGGAGAAAACATTCCGGACTCCCATATCAGTAAGTCACATGAAAAACACAACAGTCACAGCCTCTTGGTTTTCGGTTTCTGGCTTAGAACAAACATGAGTTTTCGCAGTATTTAAACAGCCAGCACCCCCTGTATTCAAATTTGTTGCCCACCGTAGGCCGTGGCGTGCCCGGTAACTGTCACTAAGGGAAGGCGTGGAGAGCTCCCTTATGTATATAGACGTCCTCCCGGAACCAAAACACAAACAACATCTCTGCCTTCGTCTCTCATCCTCGGAGTATTCAGAGTAGAATAAACCGCCACCGAAACGGGGCAACGTTGGAGGCCACTCCCTTGCAAGAGAAACGGAGGATTCAAACCTAGCCAACTTTTGATTATTCATCCCAGGCTGCGGTAGCGAACACCCATGCGACGAACGTTTTGTGTTTGTTCGCCATGTTTCTGGGAGTATCGCATCTGTGCCGTGGCCTTCGGGATCGCTTCCCATGGAATCCCGGAAAGAGCTCATTTGCTCGAAGCCCCTGAGTGCAAAAGTTGGTTGGTCGCCACGCCTGCCCAGCGATCTTTCAACGAGTAACACAAGCGAACAAGCGAATAGTAGCATTGATAGACGCCGTGGACCATTGATTGACGCGTGTAAACCAAGCCTGCAGGGTACAAACATCCACTGCGTGACAAAAACATTGCCGCTCACAGTTCAAAGTGATGAACACCTGCAGTTGGAGTAGTCTCGCCGTGATAGCCTCGAATTCGTTGAGAGGCTTCAACCATTATATATTTGCTGGATAGCATTGAAATACAACCCCATCGTTGCTACGGTGCAAAAGAAAGCATACAGGCCAGCCTAGCTGCGCGAGTAGAAGGTGCCTTCGTCATCCACGACAGCCGTCTAGAAAGGCCATAAGAAGATCCGTGTTCCCTGGGCAGTTTGCCCTCACGGCCGTCATATCGTGGTCCTTGCCTCTTGATTCGTCCTGGACTCACTGACCACTCGATACGGGACACTGGCCTGAAGAGCCAGACGAGAAGAGTGTGAGGAAGCCTCCTCGAACACATTCGAGCTACCAGCTCATCCACCCTTTATCCTTCTCGCCTTATTACGAGAGTATGCCTCCTAGACCAAGCATGGAAGCCGCTGGCTAACCAAAGGGTTTCCAGAATGCCGCCTGGAAGTCCGCGGGCGAATCCACGGGTAGCCAGAACGACGTCCCTAATACGGCTAAACACTCATGGCTGTCCGGACCCGTCAACAGAAGACATCCCGGCTCACAGAGACCCTATAGCAGACGCAAAGTCCTCTCGGGCCCCTCACCACTGATACGACGAGGCCACCCCTCCGATGAAGTCTGAAAGTTGCACCTCCCATGGCCTCTGATGCCTTGACAACAGCCCGACCTCTCAAGCCCCCATATCATATGTCCGGCTACCCAGATACCGACACGAGATCCAACAACCACAATCACACCACATCCTAACCTCTACCCTCTACCCCCTATCCCATCTCCCCATCAACAGATCCCATACCTCTCCAAGACACACACCCCCCCTACTCAAGAAACGAGGCTCCGAATCCTCACATCACCAGGGAGGGCGGAAGCACCCACTGTCGTCGAAACCCTCGGACCGAATCAAGTCGGACCGCCGAATCTTGTGACAAAGAGAGGGACCTTCACCCCCAAAAGAGCCTCGCAGAAAGGGCGTGGGGGGCCGGCACGATCTAGCGGGACGCCGAGTTCCACCCGTTCCCGCTGCAGCAAGACCAGATTTGGGTCACGCCACTCCCATCAAAGGACCAGGTCCAGGATAGAGACCGAAAAGAAGTCGACAAAACAAAACAATGAGACGAAACCGCCAAAAAGGCCGCCGCATCATTCGGTTGTACGGTTACATCTGCCGAGTGGACGCTAGTGCACCTTAGCGGGGCCCGCCCTTTCTGTCATTCTTACAATGTGCAGAGTCACCCGTTAAGATGTTACTGTTAGTCAAGCCATCCAGATCTCCGGGAAAACCTGTTTAGTCAGGTCCAGGGGTCCTTTGGGGACTGCTGGTCGTCATCATCCAACGTCACTTCACCAGAGGCCGCATGCTGTGTGTACAGTAAACATTGTCAATGTGTGTGGAAGACTTCTTTTTTCTTCTCTGTATCTAAGTTGTAAGAAGCTGGTGGCTTGCATGTATCTGAACAAAGCCTTGCAAAGTTGAGCAATAAGGGAAGCCGTCCGGCTAGTCCCTTGTATTCGTTGTGCGTCATGGGTATCTTTTTGACCTCTTTCTGTTAGATGGTCGTCTTCGATTCCCAAACGCCTTGCAAATGCTTTGATATCCTCCCCACCACCGAGGTCGAAGAAGTCCCCTGTGTCAAGCAAAATAATCAGGAAAAAATTCTCATCTGTGTAGGACCGTTTCTATCCCCTCCCCGCAAAAGAGCAAAATCATAGTCGTAGTTGAGTCTTTTCTCAACGCCCCAAACTCCCTTCCCAAATCCCATTCGTAATGTACAAGTCGTCATATGGTACAGTCAGAGCCTCCTTTGGCTCTGATCTCAAGCGGCACGATCGACGGTGCGCTGCGGGCGGTAGTTGGGAATCTCAAAGAAGGTTCCCTTGTCCACGTGGTAGCGGTACGCGTGAAAGTCGTAACCGTAAGGCTTAGGCTCGATAGAGTAGAGCATGCCCAGGGGAACGTCCAAGTCGGCAATCTCGTTGCGGGTGAGATCCATAAAGTATGCCATGAGAACGCGGATGACGGAACGGTGTCCAATGATAAGGACGTGATCCTCAATGCGCTCAATTTCACGCACCATGTCGCGCAGACGTGCGATAACCTGGAGGTATCCCTCTCCACCGACGCCCGGGTAAGTGTAGTGAAGCTTGTCGTCGGCGCGTTTCCTGTACTCGCCAGGGAATCTTCTGGCAATCTCCTCATACGTCAAGCCCTCAAAGAGGCCTGCATTGAGCTCGTTGAGCATCGCCCAGTTCTTCACATCGTAATCTTCGTCATTGTCGAACTCTGTGGCAGTTTGGACGCTGCGCTTCAGCATCGACGTCCAAACGCAAAAGTTCTTCTCCTCTAGTTCGCGGTTCAGCTCGGGGTAGGGCGGCGTGTGGTCGCCGGCCTTGGGCGGGAAGGACGACTGCGCGATCTTGTCCTTCTGCTCAATGAGCCACTCCTTGCGTTTCTGGGTGACGAAGGTGTGGAGAGCCTTTCCGTATTGCTCTCCATCGGGTGTCAGCTCCGAGTCTCCGCCAAGCTTTCCGAGGCGGTTGTCAACACTCTGGCCGTGCCGGGTAAGCCATATCTGCCGCGGCGCCAGGTTGAATGTCGTCAAATAGGAGCTGATGCCTCCGCTGAGGAAGCCTCGCAGTCTGTGCTGGACCAGCTTCCGGCCAACATCAATCATCTGTAAATGCGGGTTAGTGGAGGCGACCAATTGCGCTGTGTGGCATGCATACCTGGATGTACTGCATGTCATTCTTCTCCTCATATTCGCCAATGGGAACGTAGGCACTCTCATACGCGGCGACGCGTCTCTTAAAATCCGCAAGGGACTGGTGGGATCCTTGTCCTTGTAGTCGGGGCCTGAAAGCTTCAGGCGCATGTTGGCTTCAAGGAGCTGCGCAGACGTTAGACCAATTCCAATAACACGAGAATGCAGGGCAACTGACGTTCTGGTCGTGGCAGATACTCTCGATGAAGAGAATTCCAAGCTTGGGCTCCCTCTCCTTGATCCGGTTAACCAGAAGCTGACGACGTTGGATCGTGCTGTTGGTCGCATCGAGGATCCCGACGGAGCCGCCCTGATGCAAAAGGTAGTCCAAAAGCTCATCCAAAGTGTCCAGGGCCACCTGCTCGCGGAGCTTGGCCGCGGTCTCGTTGGTTGGCTCGAAGAACTTGGCGGACTGGTCCATGGTGTCGTTAGAGTCGTCGTTCAGGTTCAGCTTGGCAGGCTCGTGGTTGCTCTGCGGTACATGCCCGTTAAGCAAGATCGAAGCAGCCTGAGCCGGGGGGTCGAGTCTGATTGGGGCCGGTGAGTGCACCGACTTTATGGGCGAGGTCAGGCCTGCGGCGACGCGCCTCCGGTTGCCAACGTTGAAGATGCGCGAGTTGTACTGTTGCCAAGAGAGGTATCGTTGGACCTTCTTGGTGATGTACGACTTTCCTCGGGCGGGCAGGCCCACCATAATGATGACGAGCTTCGCAGCCACATCGCGGTCGCTAATCTTTCCGTCCGGCGAGGCTCTAGACACGGTCATGCCGGGGACGTTCAGCGTGGCGGGGTGCGGGCGAAGGCGCGGGGTGGTGCCTCCCGAGTTCTGTCTGACTGGTGGGCTGTTTGGGCATTCAATTAGCCAAGCTCTGCGGCACCAGGCTGTGAACGGCCGAACCACGGTTCAAGCAGTGTTCGCTCGACGTGGCCACCAGCCGCGGGGTATACGTACATTCTGGGGAGTTCGGGGCGGTCGAGACGACGCTGCGCATGGCCGGAGGGGTGTCGGAGGAGGCGATCAAGGATCGGTCGCGAAGGGCGATGGGGCCGCTCAGGTCGTTCATGGAGCGAATGGCATGCGCCATTGCGGGAGGCGGGAGGAGGCCATCGTGGGGATGCGACACAGGCATCGGCGGGGGTTCGCCATTGAGAATCGAGGGCGCGGCCGGCTTGTTCGAGTGGAGGGGGGCGATGACGAAGGGGCGCGGAAATTCTTGTTGGAACTCATGGCCAGCTTCGCCAGAGCAGACTGCTTGGCCTGTATAAGGCCAAGGTCTGTTGGCGGGAGAGAATATGTCAATACTCGGAGCTTCTTTTAGGAGTGAACAGGGCGGGCGAGGCGAGGACAGGAACAGCAGCGGAGGCAAG